TAAATTCTGAAATGGATCATCCCTGTTTTCAGAGCTTTGATGCTTTGGAAATAATCCTTTTACTTCAAATATCCAATCATTCCATCGATCCAATTTTGTTCAGAATGATTCCATAACGATTCCATTTTCACCAAAACACGTGTTTTCCTCAGAAAATGTGACTCTGATCCAATTACCAACCTCCTCTGGTGAAATCAGCGCTTCATCTTGGGGTTTTTTTGGACAAATGGGGTGGAGTGGATTGAATCCCAGAGCGTGGTTATCCTGTATATCCTCCTCCCAAATGATCCCAAATTTCCTTTATGCAGTTTTCTGCTGGCAATTACATCCTCCCTTTTTAACCCTTTATCCACTGCCTCCAGCACCTGATTGCTTAGTTTTCTTGCCAGCAAATGATTTCACCCTCACAGGTTGGGAAATAACTGGATCATCCCTCTGCCTCTTCCCAAATCCAGGGCTCTGCCAATCCTGGCACTGCCCCAGCAGCACACAGCTGAAACCTGCAAATATTGGAAAACCACCACCTGGAAAATGCTCAGAGCTTCGGTTACTGATGGCCTGGGAAGGGTTTTGTCACCTGCATGGGACACTGGGACATCACCCTGCTCCTTCCCAGGGAACAGACATGGAACAGCCCGGTGCTTCCAGCTTTTATCATGGAATTCCAGGATGGTTTGGGAGTGAAGGGACCTTAAAGCCCATCCAGTTCCAACCCCTGCCATGGGCAGGGACACCTCCCACCAGGCCAGGAATGACACCTTGCAGAAAGCAGGGAAGAAAAGCAGCCAAGAAGCTGGAATGACACAGGAGGTGAGGGATGGATGTTACCCAGGAAAGCTGAGCATGGGGGAGACCCATCAGGCAGCTGCTTGGACTGTGCAAGAATCCCAGGATCCCTGAGGCTGGAAAAGCCCTCCCAGCCCATGGATCCACCCTGGGCCCCATCCCCACCTTGGCCCCCAGCCCAGAGCACTGAGTGCCACGGCCAGGCCTTCCTGGGACACCTCCAGGGCTGGGCACTCCAAACCTCCCTGGGCAGCCCCTGCCANCTGGAGCCCCTTCAGGCCCTGCCAGGGGCTCTCAGCTCTCCCTGGAGCCTTCTCTTCTCCAGGGGAACCCCCCCAGCTCTCCCAGCCTGGCTCCAGAGCAGAGGGATCCAGCCCTGGCAGCAGCTCTGGGGCCTCTCTGGACTCTCTCCAGCAGCTCCACGTCCTCCTGCTGTTGGGGGCACCAGAAACCTCCAGCAGTTGACCTCCTGGTTTAGGTGCAACCACGGAATCATGGAATTGTTTGAGTTGGAAGGACCTTAAAGCCCATCCAGTCCCACCCCTGCCATGGGTAGGGACATCTTCCACCGGCCCAGGTTGCTCCAACCTGCCCTTGGACAATTCCAGGGATCCAGGGGCAGCCACAGCTTCTCTGGGCAAGGATATAATCCAAGATGTCACCTGACAGGGCACTCAGATGAAGTTAAGGGAGCAGATCCAGCTCCCAGCCTGTTCCCTCCGTGGTATCCACGTGTCACTCCAGGCACAGCCCTTCCCGTGGGCTGGAACCTGCAGCGAGTGCACGTCGTGAGACACGAGCTGGGAACGTGTCACCGGGGCCTTAAAGGCTCAGCAAACAAGAAAAGCAATCCTGAATTAAGAGCTGTATCCCTGTGGAACAAACCCCAGGAGCGTCATTGAATCCAGGGTGGGGACACACGGAGACAGGGGAAGTGACACTGCCTGGAGTCCCAGGGCTTGGTCACCGGGAATGGGAAAGAAGCTCCAAAAATGGACTGAAACATGAATTAATCCTCTTCTCCTTGGAGAGCAGGTTTGGAGGGATGACTGCTCCCAGTGTCCTCAACATCCATGGCAGGCAGTGGATGGAGGAGCTGGGACCCTCATGGTCACAAAAATCATGGAATGCTTTGGCTTGGAAGGGACCTTAAAGCCCATCCAGGGCCACCCAAAGATTTTTGCCAAAGCCAACGACTTTAAATCTCAGGAAGCAGAATTTAAACCTCTCGAGGAGCCACCACAGCTCTGGTTGTGCAATTTGGACACTTCTTGGCCTTAAAAACCCCTCAGTCTGGGCTGTCCCACAGGAGGAATTCCAGCTCCAGCTGTGGGAGAAGACCTGGCAGAGCTGGATCACCAGGAAGGCCTGGGGGCAACAAATCCCATCCTGGAGGCACCAAAATCCATCCTGAAGGCACCAAACCTCCTCCTGGGGGCATAAAATCCCATCCTAGGGGAATCAAACCTCCTCTCAGAGCCACCAAACCCCATCCTGGAGGCAGCAAACCCTCTATTGGGAACAGGGTGGACAACATGGATATTTTAATTATTCCTCAGCAGGGTCTGTGCAGTCGAGGCCTTTCCTGCTCCTCACCCCCCATTCCTTGGGGCAGGGAATTAAAATCATCTCCTGAGTGTTTAAATTCCTAAGGTTCCTCTAAAAGAGTGGGATAATGCAAATTCCAGACTCTGCTGGGCCTTGTTCCCAGTTTTTCCATTAGATCTCCACAAGGATCACACCACCCTCAGCAGGGATGACCCAACATCCCCAGTCCCAATTCCTGTCCTTCCTGAGGGTCACCAAGTGTCCCAGGACTCCTCTGCACAAGAGCCAAGGTCTGGAAACCATCAGTGAGCCCTTCATTTC